ATATATATATATATATATATATATATATATATTGTCATCCAGAGACAAACGGATTCGCTGTTTCATAGCTCATCAGTGTGCTTAGACATCCGATTGCCTCATGCCGAGATCGAAACCCTATTGATTTGGTATCAATTAGAGGACACACACACACACACACATATATATATATATATATATATATAGCAACAGAGAGAGAGAGAGAGTGAAGGATCGAGCGAAAGAGAGAGGTATCGAGAGAAAGAGAGGAATCGAGAGAAAGAGAGAGGGATGGTGACAGAGGGAGGGAATGAGGGAAAGAAAGAAGACAGAAAGGAAGACAGAGGAAGATGGGTGTATTCTCTCCTAAATTATACACATTCTGTTTAATAACAGTTATGGCTCTTTTTCTTTTACAATAATGTTCACCCTGAACAAGGCTCAAGTGCCACTAGAGGCAGAGATTTATTGAGTTTCTTATTTGAAAGGTAAATCATCTCCTTCCTAAATAAGACTAAATATTATAATAAATTTGCGAAACAACTGTATTAAGTGATTATATTTGAATGACACTTATTTTAACCGTCCAAAATATTCGATCAAAGAAAGCCTTTAAAGTTATAGGCTGAAAAAAAAGTATTTTTAAAATAATGTGAAGTCGAAGAGAAGAATCGTACAGTTTTCGGATATTCACTAGTTGATAGTTATTGCAATATTTTTTTTATTTATTTCGAAAATGTTTTGATTAACGTTTAGACAATAACCGTAACTGCTATTAAAACCAAGATTACTATTTAATTTTCACAAATATATATATATATATATATATATATATATATATATATATATATATATATATATATATATGTATGTGTGTGTCTTTTTTTTAATCGGTATCACCCCATGCATGGCAGTAAAGCCACTAAGACAAATGTTGTTATAGGTCGTGTAAGAATTAGGAAAATATATTAATAAGTAGGAAGAGAAAGCGTAACCAGTAGAGAGTTATTGACATGTGTGTATATATATATATATATATATATATATATATATATATATATATATATATGTATGTATATTTCTTCACAAGCATATACTGTCTAAAGTAATATATATATATATATATATATATATATATATATATATATATATATATATATATATATATATATATATGAAGAATGAAAGACAAAGTGTGAGAGAGAAGTAAATGAAATGAGTAGACGGACGAAGGGCCAACCAGCGCCACGTGCCACATTAACTCCTACTTCTCCCAACACCAGCACCGGGCCCCTACCTACAACCATTACTTCAACTGCTATTACCAATACTAATACTCTATTACTGTCACGACTCTCTTTTCTGACATCACCACTCCCACCACCGCCTCTTCCATCTTAACTAACTACATCCACTCAGCAGCAACCTCCACAAACTACAACAGCCCTTATTTCTGAAGCTTATATGTCTCTCTCTTTCTCTCTCTCTCTCTCTCTCTCTCTCTATCTGTGTGGCTTCGAGTACACCTCTCTGTTTTCATTTTTCTCTTCTCTTGGTCCTGTATTGTCATTGCATCTATTCGCTCCCATCCCGCTAATCTCCCCCTGCTTACTCCCGTTTTATCCTTACTCTCCACTCCGCATCTCCTTACTCTTCATTCGCGGCTTGCCAACCAAATAGGTTTCGCTTCTCGGCCTCCTCCCTTGCAAACAACGGTAACAATAACATCGTTTTCAATAGAAAGCGTCTTTTTTGCTTTTCGTTGTTTGATTCCTTCCTTATTCGATTCATTCATTCTTTCATTAATCTATTTCTTCTCCGTTCAACAGTCGTTATCCATTTAGAAATTATTTTTGATCACTCTGAGCTTTCATAGATTTTTTTATCCCTTGTTTTTTACTACAAAAAGCAAAGAGTCTTTTTTTCCTAATTTGCTTTGTGTTTATTTTTATTTATTTTATCTTTTTCTTTTGTGGGTCGGTTAGCATTTTTACTGTTTATCTCCAAAAGATAATTCTTATTATTTAATTTCATTTTGTTCCCCTTAATATTTCTTTTATTTAAAAGTTTATTGATATTATTGATCTTTCTTCTTCTTCTTCTTCTTCTTCTTCTTCTTCTTCTTCTTCTTCTTCTTCTTCTACCCTGCCATCATCTGTGCTATCTTCATCTTCTGTCTTTCTTCTTTTATTCATCTCCTTCATTCATTTCCATCCTGTCTATCCGTTCGTCATTCACTTCCTCCCTCTCTGTCACTTTCTTTTAGCTTCTTTTTCACACCCCCTCATCTCCGTTTCCTCATACCACTCCACCCATTCATCAACTCTATCTCTCTTTCTCTCTCTCTCTCCCTCAACCCATCACCCAAACCATCCCCTTCTCACTCACTCTCTATCTCCATCTTTGGCTTTCTCTCTACCTCCCCCTTTTTCGGAAAGCCCCGGTGCACGCGCCAGCCGTTCCAATTAACCAATAGTTAGCAAGCTTTTATCTTACGGCGGAGATTCTCTAACCGTCCAATGGCGTGAATATAAGCTAGTCGGCATTCAGAGAGGCGAAAACGCAGAGGAAAAGAAGAGACAAATTTCTGGAGGCCAGACATAGACGAAGGCATGGACTTGAATTCATCCCCAGCGTCCATCAGCTTATCCGAGTCCCTAATGATGAACGGGGTAGCAGGTAAGATAATGTTCCAAATAATGTTTGCATACAGCGACTACTCTCTATGTCACTAAGATTTCATAGTAATAATGCCCGTACCACGATTTCAGTGAACCATAATATGGCGCAAACTTCTGTTTGCGACAATAGTAAAACGAAGAAAAAAAAATATATAAAGGCTTAGAAACAATACGTCAGCATTAGAATAAATAATTATGTTCAAACATGTCACAATTTCTTGGTAGCTTGAAAACATTGAAGAGGTTTGTGAATGCTGTAGGGTGATAATAACGAATTGTGGTTTTAAAAGCTGACATGTCCTAATTTTGGGTTATTGTTGTTTGTGTCTGTATTTTTTATAACACCGTGATTCTTGTCGAGTAAAGGTAGAAGAGCCTTGTGTCTCTGCCTATACGCTTCCCAAAACTGAAACTGTGACGTACAAACAAGTAAGTTGTATGCCAAGTCCAGCGCACTCCTGCTGTAAAAATAACAACCCACACTGCCTTCAATCAAAAACTTCCAATGGCGCGGCGAGACTCATCTTCACATATTAGCAAACCACGAGCCGATAGGCGTTTGAGTTTATTTAATTTATTTTTCTGAAAATTGAAGCGATGGGGTCAATTTACGTGCTATTTACAGATAACTAGCTAACGTGATGACGACGATGGAAGTACCAGCAGCAGTAGTAACAGTTTCAACGTGCGAACAAATCGTGCGTGTAGTAATAAAGGACTCTTATTATAGCATCAGTGTTTACAAGTTTTTACTTGCTATTGTTAATAATAATAATAATAAAAAATAATGATGATGATGAAAGCCTTTCTCACACTTGCTCTCACTCGTTACCTCCACCCATGGTCACCTTACCTCCAACACCTACCACTGTTACACAATACTTCCATCCACACCCACCTACCTTAGTCAGCTTTGCTCCTACCTCTGCCCACGATCCCCAACGTGCGAAGCAACGTGTTTGTTACTTAGCTCATTAGGCTTAATTACCGAAACCCTATTTGATTAGCGTATAGGATATACTCGATTTTTAAATAAAAACCAGACAAAATGGAAGCAAATTTTATATTTTTAGTTCTTGGAAGAGGAATAAGAAAAGGTTTTATAGAATAATATAAAATAATTAACATTTTTTTTACCAACTTTAACATTATAATGTTAACGAGTTTAAGGATGCCAATTATGAAAAGAAGTTGATCTTTCTACTTAAGTTAATTTATTTAATATTAGTTAGCTTTCTACGTCAATGTCCTTTGCCATTTGTTGTTGACAGTCATATTAATAAACAGCAAAATAAATAAATAAATAAAATTTAAATAAATAAATAAATAAAATAAATAAATAAATAAAATAAATAAATAAATAAAATTTAAATAAATAAATAAATAAAATATAGATAAATAAATAAATAAATAAATAAAATATAAATAAATAAAATAAATAAATAAAATTTAAAAAAATAGATGAAAAGAAAATTATCCTCAATAACAACTGCATCCCACAATAGTATATTTTATAAGCACTGTGTCCTTAGAAGAGATCATTCGATGCGCAGATACGAATCTGATATTTTATATCCCATATACTAAGCTCCTGACTTGGACATTTCTTGTTATTAAGATGACTGTGCAGTTCCCCCAAGAACCAGTCATTGGATTTCTAGCACAGATCAAAGCTAGAATTTCGACTTCTGATTTTCAAAGCAGAAGCGCTTTCCACCCTCGGATGATTAGCACAGCACAAACTTCTTTACTCAATCCCAACTTACTTTTGCACCAGACAAAACTAAGTATCATTAATACACACACGGCTATCGACTTGTTACAAAACATTTCTAGAAGTTCATCATTAATTGTATATATTTAAACTATTTGAGTGAAGCATAAATTCAGTTTGTAGACTTATCGTCAACAATGTGGTCTGTGAATTACAAAAGGCCTTTATGAAAGATTTTCAATCCGATTGGCGGTTAAATTTATCTGCAAAAGACTGAAAATGAGAAAAAAAGCACCGAAGGAAAAAAAAAAAAAAAGAAGTTTTGCGTGGAAGTGTTTTTATGGTTTCAACTTTGTGAATAAAAGACTGACCAACAAGGACATGGTATTTCAAGTATCTTACCTCGAAGCTACATTCGGTGATGACATGTCAAAGGATTTACATCTTTACCTGAAGAACGTTAATATCTATTTCTTCAGTTAACATAAAACCAAAACACGCGAAAACATTCAGGCTTGGTTAATACTTTTTTTATACCATTTCGCTGCGATAACCTGAGGAGAGAAAAGATTTTCCTAAAACTCAAACTTCCCATTTACACTATGTCATGTTCACGACTGCATCACGTTGAAACACCGGTTTTCGTCCGATCACCGAAGTTAAGCAACGTTGATCCTGTTCACTACATAGATGGGTGACCGCTTGGGAATACCAGGTGCTGGAAGCTTGGATGAGCGGGTGATATAATGGATAACAGCTGTGAATTGGAAATCGGAGAGTCTAGTTCTAATTCTACTTGTGTTATATTCGCTTACAGGCAAATACCCTTGGAAAAAGTATGAATCTACCTCTTCTCCCTTCAGCTATGGGTTAATTAGTAGGCCTTGTATCAGTAAATCATTACTTTCTCCAAAAAACATCTTAAAATATTTTCTAGACTTAAATAACTTACAAAAGGTTGATAAGCCATAAAAACAAATCCCACTATCTGTCTATATTTCTGAGATGAGGTATTATCTACATTATTCTGACTATTGTCCTCATCTTTGTCGCCATATTTATCACAACGTTTCGGCCGTTGTACAGTTCAGTTCGAAATTCCAACCACCTGAACCGGCCGAAACGTTGTGATAAATATGGCGACAAAGATGAGGACAATAGTCAGAATAATGTAGATAATGTAAATCCCACTATGTCAGATTTTATAATCCTGGTGAATATTTTACACTAAAATTTGTATTAACTAACAATGTTGATAAAGTTTTTAGGTTATAATTATATGAGTAATATGTTATGTGAGTTTCCGATCATAATATCTATCCTTATAAAAATAATAATAATTGTTTGATAATTGAGGAGGCATGGTGGAGTAATGGGTAGCGGCTCGGATTGAGGGATCAGATTGAGTTCGAATTCCAGTCGAATCCATTTCATTGATTTACGTTTCTAATACCCTTGGGAAAGGTATGAATCCTTTTCTTCTCCCCCAGCTATGGATAAATAGCAGAGCAGACCGGGTTGGATGGCAACCTACTGCGGGGAAAAAAATCTGCCTCGTCAGATACATGATACATGATCGCCTAAGCGTATATCATGAATAGCACATAATGACTGAATGATAATTGTTTTGTAGGTGTTACGCAAATTAAGAGCAAGGTAAAAAATATGAATCAACAAGATAGAGGCCACAAAAGCAAATTTCTGATTAACAAAGAATCACATAAACCGGAAGAAATCATTTTTTAATTTATTTTACGCATTAATATGAACTTCTTGACATTCTCGTAAAGGGTCGATAAACCGTAGAAAACGAATCAATCAATCGACATTCTCACACGTTTATTAATTTTGTTAACATTTCTCTTGTTTTGACTTTGCAGCAGTTTTCATTACGTCACAGCAATCACAGAATATTGTTCCCCGTTCTAATATAAATATCTCTTTTAATAATGGTCCACCTGTTTTCTGTTAATATCTGGAGAGGCTATGAACCATTCCATTAATTTGGTGTCTTTGAAAACCTCTTTATGCAAGGTTGGCACTATACAATTTTGTAAAATAAGAATAGAACCCTGTTTTGAATGTATCCTGCTTTTAAAACTTAGGTTTTCCTTGTGGCCTCATCACATATTTTCCCGATAGTCTGCAATAATTCTCTGCATTTACCTTGACAACATCAACAACTCTGAAGAGGCTTAGAACTTTACTGATTACAAAACTAAGAAAATTACTCTAACTTCTACTGTTTTCTTGCCATGCTGATTGACAATTTCACTGAGGCGACGGGTATACAGTTCTGTATTAATCACTAAAATTGAAGTTGAGAAGTCAGTTTTTCCCTCTCTCTGATGTTTATTCAAAGATAACAGATTGGTTGCTTTCATCCCTTTAACCAATGTTCTTAATATTCTGTAGCTTTTCTCAAATGGTTTATATTCGCAATACAAACTTCTTAAAATATCTTTTAGTTCCAACCGTAATTATATTTGCCTATATTTTAACTGTTTTTAAATCTCTTCTGATACAAGAAAATGTTTATATGTTTTTATCCTTATTCTTATAAACATGCCGGCTTTAAAATAAATCCATTAATTCCTAAGGAAATACATCAGACACACACTCTCTCTCTCTCTGTCTATCTCTCTCAATATATATATATATATATATATATATATATATATATATATATAAAGTGGACATTGAACTCAACGCCATAAAAATTGTGTTTAAGCAATGCCCACTTTTCTATTTACATATGCTCTATCCCATAAATATAGCATAGGTTAAAACTATATTTTTTTATATATATATATATATATATATATATATATATGGTTGTCGTTTATTGTCACCCAAAATATATGGGAGAAACCTCAAGACATCTAAATAAAAAATTATATGAACATAAAAGGTACATTTTAAAACACACACACACACACACACACACACACACACACACACACACACACACACACACACACACACATATATATATATATATATATATATATATATATATGAGTATGTAATTCTTAATACACGTTTATAGAGGTTTCTGTTACGGAAAGGAACACCGGTATTAATCGTTTTTCCGTTTTATTTTAAATTCAACTAATGTTTCTAACGACAGACATTTGTTATGTCATTTCACGAGGACTCTGTTGAACACCCCGAACAGTTTAAGATTTATTTATATATACTTATATAAAGTCTAATACAAATCTAATCCGATTAAGAAGGATATTTACCCTTAATACAGTTGGATTTAAATCATCTCAAATCAAATGTTTTGAAAAATTTGATCGAATTCTAAATGAGTGAAGTGTGAATTTAAAAATCGGGATTTTTTTTTTTCGGAATTTGATTTTTGAAATTTGTTTTGTTAAAGTTGTAAACATGATTTTAGAACTAAAAGATTTTGTCGTAAAGTTTATTATTCTGACGATTGTAGTTTTGGTCTTTCGCACATACCAATCTACGACAGGGCACTGACAATTTTTTACTACATCGCAAGTGTAGTGACCTCGAGCCATGGGGATGCATACTATTCTATATATATATCTATATATATATATATATATATATATATATATATATATATATATATATCCAACCTGTAGTTTTACAGATTTGTCACATTTCTGAATTTTCTTTAAACCCTTAAAAAATTGCAATATTTTATTATTTAAATGTTAAAATTTGGGAAGTGGATCGGGGTGGGAACTTTTCAGTACTCCCTCGTATAGAGATAGAGAAACTCGGAACTAAATAGAGAATATTCAGAAGTCGGAAGATTGTAATATTTAGTTAATGTGGTGCTGAGTTGTTATGTAATATTGCTCCTACATGGCAATGAATGCCGTAAAATTTCCCCATAGATGAAGAGGAAAGTTTAGGCAACGGAAATCTGGTTCTACAGAAGGAGGCTGAGAATATAATTTATAGACAATGTGAGCAACGATGACGTTTTACGTAATATGGAAATAAAAAGGACACTTGTACTTAGAATCAGAAAGATATAGTTAAAAGATTTGGGACATATAATGAGGAAAGTAGGTTTGAAGAAATTGACACACATAAGACAAAGGAAAAAGGTAGTGGAAAACAAGCTAGCGAAGCTTATGTAAATTGATAACTGAACATGAGCCGGGCGGAATAGTAAAAGCGACAAACATTGCTTTGAGCTGCATTAGATAGGAAGTTGTGGAGAGCCATGGCCACCTGCGTCATGAAGGGACACGTCAGAAAAAGGATGATCTGCCTTTTAACATCTCAAATTTTGTTTTTACACCAATAACAAATACGCAGTTTATTCAGACACCAACCATGTCTGTTTACATATGTGCGTGTGACTATATATATATATATATATATATATAATGTCCAGGTAAAATGAGAACAAATGGAGTATAATTCCACTGTACGTAACATTTAATTTAAAAGAGGGCTCAATACAGAGTAGAGATCAATATTATTTATTTTATGATATTAAAAGAAAAGATTAATTTAATTTCAAAAGCAAAATACTTTAAATTAAACTTTCGCGCGTTAGTGGTTTGATATCGCCCGAGGAGACATATCTGAGGTGTCGAAACATGATTGTAATTGTGTAGCGATTTTTAACATTTTTTTGTTTTAATATCCTAAAATAAATAATTAAATATATATATGTGTATATATTCATATATATATATATATATATATATATATATATATATATATATATATATATATATTACTTTTTCTTTTTTTTGTGGATGTTCGTATTTGAGTACTTAATTATTAATCAGCATATAGATTTAATTCGTCTACCGGCTTATATACTGAGAAATCTTATTAGAGAAAAATATGCGTTTTATTTTTCTCTAATAAAACTATTCGGATAATACGGTGTTTCGAATATTCAGGTCGGTCGACAAAAATAAATAAATGTACCGTTTAATAAATAACGGAGCGTCTACTTAAGTACGAGTATCCACTAAAAATAATGTTTTAGGTAATAAAAAAATCTTTCGGGTTAATAAATAAAAAATCCACCCCTTTCTTCACACACACACACACACACACACACACAAATATATATATATATATATATATATATAATTATTTTTTATAAAAAAAATTTATAACATAAATATGTTATAAAATCACTACAAAAATAGCCATTTTGTTTCAACACCCTCGGTGTCTTATCAAGTGATGATGTTAAATATAAAACATTCCGTATACACCAATATATATATATATATATATATATATATATATATATATTATAAATTAATTGATTTAAAATATGGTTATATAACCATATTTTTAAATCAATTAAAATAAATCAATTAATTTATAATATTAATGCTCTGTAAATTTACATTGAGCACTATTTTGTAAAAATAAAATATCTATAAGAACACCGGATTTTATATCTTACTGTTCTTTTTTTTTTATTTATATATATATATATATATATATATATATATATATATATATATATATATATATATTGTGTATTTGGGAGCAATTCTTCTTTTATACAAGTTTTTTGTTGAAAACGACTGACAAGGTGCAGTAGTTGATTTTTTTTTTTTTTTTTTTTTTATAACGTCTCATGTATTCATATATATTTTTCTTTTCAGGGCATAAATTATATGAAAATTGTCCAAATATTTTCCAAGCACTTTCGGCTATACTTTTAGTCATTATCAAGGGTGAATTTTATTTTACTTTT